ATTATTTTTCTGATTTCCCTTTGGAGACCAGCAGTATCTGCAGCAGCCTGTGATTCCAGAGAGTGTGAGCAGAGGTGACAGGACAATGGAGAGCTGCAAGCCTGGAGCGAGCTATTGCTGAGTGTCTGTGCAGAACATTGATCCTTATGCCACTGGGGGAGTCACATGTAGGCAGCAGTTTCTTAGCATCAGCTAAACTGGACATTATGCAGGTGGCTCGGTCATAACTTTCATGCCAAGTTATAATTTATGAGGCCAAAAATCACAAACTGTAAACTGAATGGCAATATGGGAATCAGATGGGTTCCCCACAGATGGATGGTTCTGCTGTTCTGCCAGGAGGTGACTCCTTTGGACCTTTGGAAAGCTGTCTGAGCAGCACTGAGAGCTAAAGCAGAATCCCAAGCAAATGAAGGCTCCCATAAGCAGTGCTGCTCACCAGGGACAATGGAGCTGCATTGCAGAAGAGAGGGAATCCTGGATGTGCTTATCTTGACCTAAAAGTGGCTTACAGAGCCCGTGGCACCTCGCTGTGCTCTGGGAACTCTCAGGAGCCGTTCCGAGATGAGTTGTTATGGTAACTGAGCTAATGCCCCGAGATGGATGTTTTCAGGTGGCTTCGGGCCAGAAATTCAACACCAAGAGATTCCAGATAATAGACTTCTGCTAAATTCAGTGATGGCATCTACTTTATTTAACCTATTCACCAATGACTTACTGAACTCCATTCTCCGGGCAAACCACGAATGATGAAAATAGCTGCTTGGCCTCAATGAACTTTGTCTTTCAAAAGACTGAGGGGTTCCTATGAGCTTCAGCTGAGTCTGTGCCAGTAAAATAAGTGTGCCTGGGACCGAATGGCTGCTGTTTTCATAGCAAATTCCTACCCTCCAAACCTGCGTGGCCACATCCAGACAGAACACATGGAGTGGGACAAAATACTCCAGCAGTGTGACAGAGAGCAGCCCTGGCACTGGCTGATTCCTTGACTGAAAGCAGCCACACGCAAGAAAGGAGCAAAGCGCGAAGGCTCTGTCAGTGTGCTTGTGCCTGTCCCATGTCCAGAGCCAGCTGGAGCCCTGCATCCTCAGGGACAGTCAGCAGCAGGAGCTCGGCGTGCCTGGGATTCGCTTGGATCGCCCATTGCTGTCCTCTATTAGAAACAACTCCAGAGGTCACGAAGCTAAAAGCCTCCATGGCTTACGAGGTGGATTTGGGGCAGTACCCCTCACCTCACATCTAGCATCCAAATGCAATCACTGAGCTTACTAACAAGGAGCAGGCAGTGCCTCATAGCCGCTCCCAGCCCAGGGAGCCCTGGTGGGTTGGTGCCGGAGCAGCAGGGCAGCTCAGGAGGAGCCGCGCCAGTTTCAGGAACTCCCACATCCCCACAGACCCGCCGAGCAGCTGCCTGGCGCTGGGGCCTCGCGCCGCTTCCGCAGCGAGACAAACTGGTTCTGCCCTGGCGTGGTCCACAGTGCCAGCACTGCTCGTGCCTCGGGCAGCTGGGACAGCCTGTGCCTGCCCTCGTGATGCTGCGGCGTTTGTGCTGCATGGCTGCTCTTCGCATGTTGGGGCTCCCAGGTGGTCTCCCCACGTGGACACCGATGGCTCCAACACCTCAAGGCCACCGAGATGGAGGGATTTTACCTCTGCAAAGTTCATTCACATTTCAGGTCTTGCCTTGCTTGTTTTGCCCGCTTGCAAGCTGTGTTACTCTAATATGTAGCTCTCTAGGGTGGAAGCTGTTTTTCTGCATGTTCTTTGCTAGGCTTCTCCTGCAACAGGATTGCAATCTTAATCAGTGCAGCATAATATGATTAACAAGCTTCTGCACAAGTGGGAATTGCATCCCTAGTGGATGTGATTTGCCCAGTTCTGGCCTGTCCATGTGTTTTCTTGGGCTGAGAGGTCGTGTTGACTGAACTCCAGAACAGTCCACTCAGACTTTTGAGCATTAAGATCCAAATGAATTTCCAGCATGAGCTGCTATGCTGATCCCTTTCCTGCCAAGCTGAAGCCTTAAGTGAATTTTTATGGCTAAGTTATAAACCCTAGAAAACATGAGCAAGAAGTAGAAATGCTGAGTTGGCCTTTGCTAAATGCCAATTATCTACAAAGCCATTAAGGGTGGAGGGATGAAAAATAGGGTCATTTTCATGTTTTCTCAAGTTTAAGTAAACTGTCTCATGAACCCCTTATAGGAACACACAGCAAACAGAGTGACCATCCATATTTATAGGCACAACACTGAGCTGCAGACCTTGGCAATCAGAGCAACTCCACTTTGGAGAGGAATACAGCTCTGCTTGGCTGGCCTCCCAGTACAAAACATAAGGTAGGGACACGAAGATTTTCAGGGAGAACTTAAGAACAGATGCTGACCTTTGATGGAGTGGGTCCACACTTACTGAGTTGGTGTAACACTAAAACCAGCTCTTAAATCCTTGGGTTGCTGGGTTCTCTGCTCCTGTGGCCCTTATTCCCTGCGGTTTCCCACCCTTGATTAAGAGTAGTGCATCCCACAGACGGTACTGGAGTGACACAGAATGGGATCACAGAACAGTTTGGGTTGGAAGGGACCTTACAGACCATCCAGCCCCCACCCCTTGCCATGGGCAGTGACAGCTCCCTGTAGACCAGGCTGCCAAAGACACAGGCAGCTGGGATGGGCACCTCCAGAGATGGGCGCCTCCCAGCTCTTCTGGGCAGCCTGTGCCAGGGCCTCACCACTCTCCAAGTGAAGAATTTCTTCCTTATACGTAATCTAAATCTCCTCTTTTAGTTTAAATCCATTCCCCCTCATCCTCTCACTACAGGCCATAGTAAAAAGTCTCCCCCCATCTTTTTCACGAGCCCCCTTTAAGTATCGAAAGGCTGCACTAAGGACTCCCTGGAGCCTTCCCTTCTGGAGGCTAAACAGCCAGCATGGTTTTATAATACCTAAAGATCTGGTCCAATAATCTTAAGGCTTGAAATGGTGCTGTAATCTCAGCTGCAATGCAGCACCTGCCTTCTCCCGCCCTGTATTTCCTAATGCCCAGCTTAATTGACAGAGAGCACCCTCAGAACCAGCCCTGTGTGCTGAGGACCTGGCAGGGCGCTGAGTCACGGAGCTGCGCTCAGCCCAGGGCCAGGCACCAAGCAGGGTGCGGGCTGCTGCCAAACCACACAGCACAGCCCAGAGACAGCAAGAGGAGGTCGTGCGCTGTGAGTATCTCAGGCACTCCCTGAGCCGGTGGAGAAAGGTGTCCCCAGCACTGGGGCACTTGGCAGTCGTGCCACACAAAATAATCTGGAAGTGGCCGAGGTCGTCATGGCCCAGTAATCCTTCGTGTGCAATAACATGAGGAAAGATGTGAGTTAAGGGAGAGACTGTTTGCCCACCACAGTGCTCCCAGCCCTGGGAAAAGGAATAAGAGAATACACAGAGGTGCTTGCTTAAGAGCTGGGAACGTTTTTATGAAATTAAAGACAAAAAAAAAAGCAACAACCACAACGTTATAAATCCTGCTCCTTCCTTCTCATACTCACAAAAATTGAGCCCAAATGCTGAGCAAGAGGCTTTAAATTTTCAAAAGTGAGCAAACTTTCAGAGATACCCTGAACTCAGCACACTGGGGTCGGGACCTCCTGGTGAGTTTTGCAATGCTGCATTTAAACATTGTTTTTTTGAAGACTGTGGAAAGGTCCACAGCACTTTATGAAGCATAAGCATGTGTGGTCCATCAGCTGAGTCCCTCTGAATCCTATCCTACAACAACAAATATATGTTGTTGCTAATGGCTCCTGCCATTAAAAACAAGGTAAAAAGGAGGAGCTGTGCAAAGTTAATCAGAGAGTTGAAATCACAGAATCATGAAATCACAGGGTTGGAAAGGGACCTCAAGGATCACGAATCTCCAACCCCCCTGCCACAGGCAGGGCTACAAAATGAGATGTTGCAGAAAGGGGCTGTGGGTGACGGGGGGTTTGCAGTCAGCTGAGCATTGTGAAATCTCTTGTATCTGCCTGAGCTCTGAAAGGAAATGCTTTATTAAATCTGCTTTGTGTGAGATTTCAAGCTGCCTCTGGACTGGAAAATAGGACCATTCCGTGTGGCATCTAATCAGAACTGAAGTCTTTAGTGCAGGATTTTCTGCAGAGCAGACTGATCAGCATAGACAAGTAACTCAGAGGTCTCAGCATTCAAAAAGCTGAATTAGACACAGTACGCCTGTGCTCTGCCGTGCACCTCTCCTACACACAGAGTCCCCCAAAATGCTTCACGGAAGGAACCGTGCAACAAGCCAGGCATTGGGAAGGCATCACAACTGGACATAAATGCACCCCACTGATTCCTAACCAGCCAACAGGTCTCAGCACCATTATCTCCATTTGCATTCCCACTGACACGTAGGAGTTGCCATGACTGAAAAGATTCACTGAGTTTCCTTTTCACTGCCTGTCCTGGAAGCCATTGATGTCTCTGCTTCGTGCTGAGATCTCACTGTGTTTTGGGAAGCTGCAGCCTCTGACAGTCTGTGTCCAGCACCCACTGGGCTTTGCTGTAAGCAGATGGGCAGCTCACGGCTCTGCAGGACAGCAGCACCACAAACACCTGCAGAAAGTAAACGCTAAAAAGAAATGGCAAGAGCCAGGCACCACAGAGTTGAGGACAAGGGAGAGGCTCCCGGAGCACACCCTGAGTCACACAAGCTCCCTTTTGCACGTCTTCTGCCTCCCTCTGTGCTTGGCCGTGTTTTCAGGAAAGTGAGACCTCATCAGAGACAGGAGAGGAAATATCAACCGGACTGCCTCCTCCTCAACCTCCCCTACTTCACACGTCAGCCTATCTGGAGCTGAGGAGGCTTAAATCTCACTCTGCCTGCTGGAAATCTCAGGGTTTCAGCTCCTGATCTGCTTTCTGCAAACTCCAGTGGGAAAGCGTCCCGTGGGCTGAGATGCACAGAGCATTCCCCCTTCCCTCGCACCGCCCCCGCTGCAGATGAGCTCTGTGCCTACCTTTTGTTGCTGACAAGAAGCAGGACTGAGCCATTCTGGATATTGGCTTCTTTCAAAGTCTCATGCTCTTCAAGCTGCCTGGAGTTGTAATAAAATGTCTTCTTCCAGGAAGTGACGCCCTCCCGCACCAGGTAAGCCCGTAGGTCCATCACTGTGTCTCTGGGTTTGACGGTCAGCGGCATCATCAGGTCCTCATCAGCCAAGTGCACCTTAATGTGGTACCTCTTCCAGCGGGAAAGGCTCCTTCGCAGCGTGTCCATCCTCTCCGGCTCTCCAGGGACGGTGTGGCAGAGAGGAGCATCCAGCTGGGAGGTAGGCAGAGCAGGGATGTGGCTCCGAAGAGGCTGTCTGCCTGCACAGCTTAAAATGTCCTGCCAAACCTGTTCCTCCCAGTTGCTGCACTGCATGCTTCTCATTCCAGGGAAGAGCTCACCTGGCTCCAAGAGTACTGGCTGGGAAATGCCTCCGTGAATCACTGCCACGCACCTCTAAATCCCATAATAATTACTGCGTCCTCACAAAGTGCCCTTCATTCCAATGGGTCTCAGAGGACTTTAAAGATGGACCTCTGTAGCCATTAGAAATGTGGGTGCGTTTGAGAAATGAATGGGTTTAGTAACCTCATGTCTGCTGTTCTCAAAAGCTGCCAACTGTGGCATAGCTCAGTTCAAAAAGTAGACATTGAGGAACCTCTCAGCTATTTAACATAATCATTTTAATTGAGAAAAATACACTGCATAGTGAAAACTTCCTCATGGGGGGGAGCCACAGCATTTGGAAGGACATTCAGAGCCCAGCTGGTGTGAACTGCAGTGCTGGTTTGACCTAGGAGATCTGTGTTGTAGGAGAATGGGCTGGGACCCTCCAAGAGGGGTAGGATTCATTGCTGCTCATAGCATCACATGTCTGGTGCTCACTCACACATGCTCCTTGGTGGTTCATCGGCTTGATTTCCTGTCCCTCACAGATCTCTGCCTAATTGAAGTATTGGCTGTATCCTGCTCTGACACGTGAGCTGAGATAGCACCTCGGGGCTGCAGGCTCACCACGCAAAAGGGACAGCAGAGGCCTCGGGAGCAAGCACTGCTCTGGTAGATGCAGTGATAGCTCCAAAGGGAAGGAAGCAATGCCCGCCGCAGGAGCTGGCTGTAATTGAACGATCCCGCAAGGCAGACTCGGGCGCTCACGAGATGATACTTCAGAGCAAACATCATCAAGATAAGGAAGTCTTTTTTTTTTTTCTTTTTCTCAAAAAGATCAAGTCACTCTTATCTTGTAGGTAATTTCCTGCAGCCCATATTACAGGAATTAATTCCCTTGTCCATTCTTCTCAACGCAGACTGGTATTTTCAGACCAAAGTACTGCAAGGTAGTTGTCCTAAGACACTGTTCTTCACTAAAAAGGGCATTTTCTTGCCTATCAGATAATGAAACAAATTGACAGATTTTCAGATATGGCAGCAGTCAGCTCCCACTGAGCACGAGAGATGCGTCCCCTTTCCCACTGAGAAGCAAGAAGATTTCTGCCCGGTTTTCTCACCTCCTTTCTCTTTTCTCTCCCCAGTGCACTGTATCTTGACCAAGAACAGCAGCAAATGTCTTCAGCTATTCTACAGGCAATGGCGATTTCCCTGTACACCTGATAGGAAATGAAGCTTCTGCTAGCAAGTGTTCCTTTCCAGATTCAGTCATTGTAAAGGTATGATTGTTTTGGTGGGGACTGGCATTCTTGGGTCCTCACTCTGCCACTGAGTTGCTGCAAAGGCTTGAGATGAGTCATGCCGTGCCTTCATGCTCATCGTGTCATTGCTGCGTGGTGTTAACATGTGTCCTTTAAGCACCCTGTGGGAAATAGGAACAGCTTTTAGCACAGTCACGCCCTCCTGCATGGCAGCAGTTATGAACAGAACGGATCTGCAGATCTATCAATAATTTTCTTGAAGACAGGACATCACCACCGTTATTAGAGAGGAGAATGTGAGGTACAGAGCAGTACAAAGCTGTTAAAAAAAAAAGTCAAAAGTTGGGCTCTTGTCCCCATGTCTAGGAATCTCAGTGAAAAGCTGCATTTCCAGAGAACTACAGAAGCCTGCAAACCTGGAGATGTTGCATCTTTCTCCATCAGGGTGACATTCACTCGGGGAGCCAGAATTTATCCCTGTTGTAACGCCAGAGTCTCGGGGGTAAAGAGGAGGTCTGATCCAATTCCCATTGCCATCCAAGGGCAGACTCTCATTGACGGCAGTCGGACCTGGATCACGCCCCAGACACGCTGAGGTCTAATGGCTCCAGCCAACAGAATTTGCCCGGTGAGTGCCAAGGGAAGCAGAAGGCATTCTTATTTCAGCAGAGCCCGTCTGGTGTCAGCGAGTCCATCAGCTCCATCCTTCTCGCATCCATGACAGCCTGACAGCTGCCAGATACCTCCCTCAGACACCTTTCAGACGGCTCCTGTTTATTTTTAGGACAGCTCTTTCCAGATAAGGCTCAGATGTGTATAATTACAAAGAAAGGGAGATGGTCACCAAAAGGAAAACGCAATGGCGATCAGTTTTATTGTTTCTTTGCCTGCGGTGTGATTGCAGACTTTCTCACGTACCCCCACCCCGTGCTGGGAGCACTCCTTTCAGAAGAAGGGGTGATGTTTGAGCCTGTGAAAGCCAGGAGAAGGCGAGGCGTAGCAGTGAAGTCAGGTTATGAAATATTGAAGCAGTGAAACCCTCACTGGAACACGTGAATGGCTAATGCCAGTTCCAATTAATTTTGAATTTTTCATTAAACCATTATTAAAAGCAAGAGGACAGAAGAAATAAGGGAAATTGACTTGGGCAGTATATTAAGTACCTTCGTTTTGCTGGAAGATGTTTTATTATCTGTCCAAAGCAATTATTTCACAAGCTCCTGACGGTTTGTGGGCTAAACAGAAGTGCAGGATGAAGTTCTAGATGGTCTTTTCTTAAAGTTATTTTAATCCTCATCCTCTGCCCTGCCCTAATTGGGCGATATCTCTGGCGTGTCATATCTGGAGGACAAGACATGGAGTCAGAGTTCTGAGAACCTGCAATATTGTGTCGCCCTGGCATTATTTATAAATCAAATAAAAACCTATTGACTTAAGCATTTCCTCATATTGAGGGCAAACAGAAAATGTGCAAACACTTGAGAAACATTCATTAGGGAAGCCTCAAAAGCCATTTAAAACCTAGGTGGGCTATGATTTTTTTTTAAGAACTAAAGCAACAGCATTTAATAAAACATCTCCACCTCTGCTCTCCCCTCCTCTATACTCCATTGACTACAGCAAAAGAGAAACACCTGCTTAAATTAGGTGCTTCATTAACATGTCTCTTGTTGGTTGAGGTAATCCTAGGCCTTATAATATCTTCTTATGCTACCAGAGTAGAGACACATATTTCTTAGCCTTTTTTTGGCAATGACTGTGTTTTGCTACCTGCTGTGCTGCTGTCCTTGCAGAGGAGGACAGAAAAGTGGGATGTTTCTCAATGAGAATAGAAAGGTTTCTCCATTTCTTGGTAGCAGTTGTAGGGAAATCACAGCACCTGGGAAAAATACAGCCCTGATTCCCCTGCCTGTAAGTCTTTGGGGAAAGCAGCCTGTCAGCCCTGCCCTTTCAGGTCAGGGAGATCCTTTGCTGATTCTTGACGCCATCTGATCCCAGCAGTCAGTAAAGCTGAAAACTTTACTCTTTTTCCTCTGTTTGCCTAGGATGAGTTGCGGTTAGAAAGACAGAAAACAAGGGATGAGGCATTAGAGGTGACTGGTGAGGTTTACCATGTGCTTGCAGCTGTGTGTCACCAGGTACCAAAGAAGAGTTTTGTGTTAAATTTCCCTATGTCCATGATCCTGTGGGAGAGCACAGTCTCCATGCTACGATTGGAGCTCTCCTGCTCCATCGCTCAGCAGTGCAGAGGGAGGTGCAGCGGTGTGAGCTCTGGGGCTGCCGGGGAGCACGGGGCTGGAAGGTTCACTCGCTGGCAGCGAATCCCGAGGTTTGACAGCGATAACCTACAGCTAGAAATCTCCAAAATGCAGCCTGCCACTTAATTCATCCAGTGCTCCTGATATCTTAGGCAATGGGGCAGCTTAAGGTGCTGGTATTTATATTCCTGAAATACCCAGAGGCCCCAACTGGAGCTGTACCACCATGTGCCAAGTGCTTTGCAGATAAGAAGGATGAGTAAGGCCTTTTCTGTCACCCAGCGCTTGGTTATAAAATGACTGGGCTCACTTTAGATGCTGAGATACATCTACAGCAAATGAACAAAGAGCTAATAAATGATTAATAAATGCTTTGAAAAATGGCTAATTAAATGCAACAGCATTTTAGAGTGCAATGGAAAAGCACAAAACATGTAAGCTCAAGCGATAACGCTTCTTCTGATATGACTTATCTACAGCATGCTGCTCACATCTGCAAGAGTGCTTAGAAATATTATTAACATCTTGTGTACCAGGAATAAAGAGAGCCTTTCTGTGAAGGAAGAGCAATTCTCTCCTCGGGATAAGGGCAAATTCCTCATTGTTTAGGCCATTTGAAATCCAGAAAAACTAGAAGGCGCCTATAGTAACACACACTGGGAGATGTGAGTGATGAGAGCAAGCTGACAGTGTTTGCATTGAGCCTGCCCTGTTATCTGCCTGTCACGTCATAGGGCCCTGTGCTCCCAGGCCAGACATCCTCTCTGTTCCATTGGATTCGCATCCACCATCTCCCATTCTTGGCTGGCAAGGGGAAAATGCCTTTTCATCCTGCCCTGCTCCAGACAACAGTCAGGCTCTCTCCATCTGCTTCAGCAGCATAACAGATTTTTTTTTTAAATGTCACAAAAAGGGGGGGCGATCCTGGTTGCATCCTCGTTGGTACAAACAAGGATTTCTACCACTAACACTGCTAACGTTACCAAGCCACACAGATCCTGATGCCACAACTTCCCTTGCTTGCTGCCCTGCATCAATATTGCATTGGTGGGGGCAGCTGGACTCTGGGATGGGAGTTAAAATGAGTGTCGGAAAAAGCTGTGTATCTTCAGCTTTGAAGGAACAAACTTGCCTGGGTTTGAAACTGTGAGTTTTCTAAGTTGGATGAGAGCTGGTAACATTTTCTGGTGGAAAAGGGAAATGTGAAGGAAAATAATAAAAAACAGTAACGCAGATGTTAAATGAACCAGTCAGCTGCGAACAATGGAAAGCTGAAAAATGGATATGGGGAAAAGCATTTTGCGGTGTAGTTATTTCTTGCTGCAGTTCTTTATAACGTCCCAGATGGGAGATTCATGACCCTAGGAAGCAGTCTGTACGCTCCAGGGTTTGGCCTGCAGCAGCCCATGACTCACTCGCCTGCCAGGTTGGGCAGTAAGCTGAGAAACAAGCAAGATAGCAAAATGTCTTGTGGAAACAGCAAAACAAGAGATGAATTAACTGCTGGAAGAGTGAAAAAACAAACCTCTGTGCACAAAGGGGGGCCCTCAATGCAGAGAGCAAGCACTCATGCCACTGGGGACTCCAGAGGAGCCGGCCTCCCAGGCAGCCAGGTCCATTTGTTTGTAGGCAAAACAATCCAGGATGCTTCAGTCTTATATGGTGAAGTGGGCGGAAACAGAAGATTTGAGGTTCTACCCACGGCAGCAAGATGGTTTTCCATGGGCTCAAGGAAGGAAGATTTGTGAATCTACATTGCCATCTAATGGCAAGGAACAGCTTACAGCTTTCAGTGCTGCACAGAAACTGGCTATAACAGCAGTAAGCGAGGGTGGCATGGTCTGCGGTGATTATTATCCTTTGGTCCAAAGCAAATCCTTCTCTGCAACAGAATGGTGGTCCCCAGTGAAGGCAATACAGCTAGCCCAGAAAAGGGAAGGGTACCAAACCCTTGGGATTGAGGCTGCTGATTCTTCCTCTTCTGGCATCCACTCCAGTTTCTTTGCCAGGAACACAAACATGGGGTGGGATTTCTTTCCTCTGGTGTACCACATACTGCACATGGACAAGCTTCCCAAGCAGGTGCACGTTCTGGGTTCTGAGTGAATCCTGCCATCCTATTCAAAACACTTCACTCAGCATCTCAGGTCTTCAGGACCCTGTTGACAAATACAGATAACCAGAGTTACATTTAAAAAGTGACATATTCTTGGATATAGGCTCAGGAAGGATAGATCTGTCCTTTTGGTCACACCTAGCCCAGCATCTTGTCTGCACCAGTGCTGAGTAATGGATACGTAACGAGAAAGTATCAGAAATACAATAGTACAGATTGATACTACCCTGCCTTATCCTTCATGCTGAGAGACAGCCCTGCAGGGAAATCCTACAAAGAAAATTCAGTGAGATGTGAGATTTTATGGATTCTGTCATTTCTAACTGAACATTTAAACAGAGATGACAGGAAGAGACAAGTTTGATGTTCATTCTAGTGCTACTGTCGTTACAGCACTCTGCTAATGATGCACCATATTATGTAGTTCCTAGAACAGAAACTTTACATACAAGAGAGAGTTGTCTATTAGGAGATAATTACATTAAGAAACCAAAGGAAACTTGAGAAAGGGTTGTCAGCAGCCAGTTCCTTTGACTTTGACACATTTCTAGTCTTGACACACGTACATATGAACAGGAGTTGGAACTCACTGCAAGAGAGGAAGGTGATATTCAATGTCCAGGAGTTTCAAATAGAGCAGGAGCCTGGGGAGAGACTGAGGATATAAAGTGTCTGTTCCTTCCACATGGGCAGATGGGTCATGGTGTTCATTCCAACTAAATTCTGGGAAAAAAATAAATCGGAGTAGGGATTGAGAGTACTGAAAAAATTGACTTTAGTCCAGAGGACCAAAAGAACCACCCCTGTCTGTTACAATGCCTGCTGTAACATGCTTCCCACACAGCGTGCTGCCAAAGAAATGAGCACACTGTCGAAGCATCCAGCTTCATTTCCTCCTGGTACCCTCTCCTCTTTACACATGGTCTTGCCAAGCCTTGCTAGGCCCAAACAATCCTGCTGAAAGAAGAGGGATAAACAAGGGATCTCTACCTACTGAACACGCTCCCACCTGCTCAATAAATGCATGGTTTGGAGGGCTTTTTCCTTTCTTGGTTGCTTGCCACTTCACAAGTTAAAGAAAGCCAAAGGCTGAGGGACCGGAGAGGATGTTTCAGGTATTTCTCTCCAGTAAGGAGGGAAAGGGGATGAACCCGGTTGATGGACTGCACAGGATGATTTGTTCCTAGATGTTCCTTTCTAAAATGGCTCTGAGTCATGCCACAGCACTGATCAGAAAAACATTCTTCCTGTAATAGGAACACAACAGCAAAAAAGCCCTGTTGAGTGTTCAGTTCTGAGTGCTCAGCCCTGACTCTGAGCCTGCAGCAGGAGAAGGGTAGGAGGGCTGGCTGGAAAGCCTCCTCCGCTCCCTCAGCAGTTGGAAACAACGCAGAGGCTGCAAGAGCCATTGCAGAAGCAGGCTGAAGCCTGCCGAAGGCTACATGCAGCTGCAGACCCAGGGAAAGGCATGCGTGGTCTTGCAGCTGCCTCCATGGAATGCGTTCCCACAGGTGCTGGGTCAGGTGGGGTGAGCACCGTCCTCCTGCTTTCTCCTCCACTCATTTCCAAAGCTGCACCCCAAAACCTGCCTCTTCAGAAAGGAACTACAAACAAAGCCTGCAGCACAGCCACCTGAGTGGAGCCTGAAGGAGGCACAGAGCATGGCCGACCTCCAGAGCCTGTGAGCTGCAGCAATGGAAGAAAAGCTACTGAAGATACACATTGCTCCAAAGAGAGTGAGAAGAGATTGCTGCGGCCATTGGCCAAAGAACAGGGACACTGCGGTGTGGCCGCCTGGGCACTGCGGTGTGGCTGCCAGCGTGCTGTACATCCTCAGCACTGCAGCGCAGGCCTGGGGCTGCACAGCCCACTGCCCTCCTGGCTGTCCATGCTTACCAGCACCTTTCTTACTGAGGAAGTCGGGCTTGTCCAGCTCAGAGAGGGACCTCGGTGTGGCCTTCAGTGCTGTAAGGGAACTTGTGAGCTGGAAGTGGAGAGACCGCACACAGTCTGATAGCGACAGGACACGGGGAAATGAAATCCCGCACTCAGAAGGCGGCGAGGCGCCGGCACTGCCCAGAGCTGCGGGTGCCCCGTGGGCATGGATGAACCCCGGGCAGCGTCAGCTGGGCGGGCAGCCGGCCCAGCGTTGGACCTAAATCTCTGAGCTCCCTGCTGACATGAACCATCCTATGACTCTGGGCTGAGCAGCGCTGCCGTGGGTTCCCGACACCGATCCCGCAGGCTCAGCTCACCGGCCGACGGGCAGCACGGCCCCGGGCCGCCCCGCTGCGCGGTGGAGCGGCGCGCACGGCGCTCCGGGAGCTGTAGTCCCACCGCCCCCATCCGCCATCTTGGCGCCGCCAGAACTCCGCCCCGCGGCGCTGCCCGGCCGCCATCTTGGGTCGGGGGCGAAGCCGCCCTCGTGAGGCGGCGGCGGGGATCGGCGGGGCGGAGGGTTTGCTTCTTGTAGCAGTGAAAGCCTTGCTTTTATTTGGAATCGGGAAAGCTGAGAATCCCTCACAAAAAGCAAGCTGAGCGGCGTGGTGGTGCCCGTGAGGTGCTGGCTTCTGTGGGTGTTGTGAGGCGTTTGCCTGGCGTCTGTTCTGTATGGAGCTTAGATTAATAAAGGCTTTGGTCTTTGTTAGGCCCCCCGCCCCTGAGGGCCGTTCCGTGCTTTGTTTTGTAACGCGTGGATTTCTGTTGCAGGAATCCGAAGAGGTGCTTTTAGGCCCCGTTGTGCTGCGCAGCCAGGCTGTGCCCACAGCTCAGGGCTGCTGCCTGCAAGCGGCCGCGCTGAGCGGCTTTCTTTTGAGCACACGCTCACATGTCAACACTTCTGCTTTGTCAGAAGCTTAAAAATGGAAACAGTGCTCTCTTTAAGAAAGGGCCCAAATAAGGAGATGATGGAGTGGCGAGGATTCCTCCAGTGAGTGTTCTGGCTCATTCCTTACAAAGGCTGCGTGTGAAAGATAGAGGCCCACAGATCTGGGTTTTGTCCAGGGGTCTCCAGGTTTAAAGCTCCCTGCAGCCGCTTCAGCTCAGTTTCCCTGTGACTCGGCTGGGCACGACTTCTTTCTCTGCCCCAAAAACATAAAGCTTTACCCTTCAGAACTCTTTTGGCTGTGTGAGCAACTCAGCCTGTCCTTCAGCAAAAATGGAAGCTATCAAGAAAAAGATGCAGATGTTGAAGCTGGACAAGGAGAATGCAATTGATAGAGCAGAGCAGGCTGAAACGGATAAGAAGGCAGCTGAGGACAAATGCAAGCAGGCAAGTAGAAATAAAATCACAGATTGTGCACATGGTGTGGAAATCAGTCTGGTGAAGTGCTGTGCTGCACTCTGATTCCGAGAACAAAATTTGAGCTTCAGTTCTCCGTTAATTTGTTTTGAATTTTTTGCCTTTTTATTATGTTAAACTTGTACGGCCATTGTTGGATATTAATGATCGTTTCTTCTGTCTTTGCAAAGCTAGCACTAGCTATGGATTTTTAAGACTATTTTGTCTCAGTTTTCTTAAATCATACATAATTGCTTTAATTTTCGTTTGCTCGTGATTCCATTGAAAAGACATGAAAAACTTCAAGTCAAAGCTGTAGATTGAACACCTGTAGGAACAGAGTTAATGCTGTCTGAAGTCAGCCGATGTTAATTGAGCCTCTCCTTGAAGTGAATTAATGAAGTTCTGCTGACTTGTCTGTGGTCCCGCAGTGCCTTTGGAGGTGCCTGCTGCGACTCGCCAGTAGGTGTGCTGTGTTATGATTTGTCAGCAATGATCAGAAATATCTTAATTTGCAAGGCCTAATTTTAATTGAATTATACTGATAGCATTTGCATATTCTGTTGCTTTTTGTTGTTCTTTATTTTGGGTGCGTGCCTACCTCAATTCTGAGCTGTAATACTTTCAGAATGATCTTTAAATGTTTTGCTCACCATGTTCCAATTTGTTACTGAGCTTCTATAAAAGAATGCTCGTATCTTTTTATATTCTCTAAATGTGTTTCTTTCTGCTGCTTCTTCCAGATTGCCGTGTGCGTAATTATTTGGCCAAGTGTTTCTTCTGTCCAATCTGAGATCTTTGGGTGATGTAATCACATTTTTAATTGGCCATCCGTGTAGCTAAAGGGCCTCAAAAAAAAGTTTCCAAAAAGGCGAACTGCCGCCTTCCTGCTCCACCCCAGCTCACGGAAAGCGCTTCACCTCTTTGTTGCGCTCGGAGGCTCCAGGCTCCACGCAGCACCGCGTGAATGCGGTCGCTGAATCTTCCACAGCCTGAGAGGTGCAGCTCAGATGTGGTTCTGCCGGGCAACGCCGGCCCCCTTCCTGAGCTCAGTGGCATAGCAGCCCCAGCAGATGGTATTCAGTTAGTGGTGATGCGATGCTGAGCCGCGCTTTGCAAGCAGTTAGCAAAGGTGACTTCCTACAGACTGAACGGCGCGTCTCTGGGAACTGTTAAGTATGAGGGTAATCTGCAATGAAAGGTGAAAGAGAGGAAATAAGGCTTTGGTCTGCCTCCTCTTCTCTGAATTGTACCCAGTTTTCCACCTCTTTTATTACTGTTTTTTTAACACAGGCGCACACAGGGATTTTAATGTCATACATGAAGGAAGCATCACTTCCTCCTGCTTGCTGTTCCCTGCTGAAGCACCCAGGGGAGCGTGTTCAGTGCTCTCACAGTGAGGTTATCCTAAACGAAAGTACAGCAATGTCGCTGTGTTGAAGAACAGCTCGCTGCCAGGAATGCTGGTAAAGCTGTCCTGGATGCTAGAATGAAGAAGATACACGTACTGAAACATGAACTGTTTAGAGTGAACTGTTTGACACTCTAAATTTAGGTGAAAGCAGAGTCAAATGGTTAAATCAGTTTTCTCTACGGACTGAACTGCTTTGTATTGCAAATGGCAGGCGGGAGCAGATGGACTGCAGGCGCACCCTTATCAGCAGCAGCTCCTGATAATGCAAATTCCTCGGGAGTGTGAGGCGGTTCGTCACTAACCGCTCTCCCTGCAGGGTATAAATAGTTCTGTGTAGTGCACAGTATGGATTTATATGGTGTGGGATGGAGAGCACCTCGATGGCCAGGTTGGACCTGGGATGGTGGAGGTTGGGGCTGTCTGGGGCCCTCTGACCACCCCTCTGATGTGCAGAGCTGCAGCAGGGAACGGCTTAGAGCTTAGAACTGTCCTTAGAGCTTAGAACTGTTCTTAGAAGTGTACCACAGTCAAAGAGTTTCCTAACAGTCCTGAGTTATTCTGTCACAACGAGCACAAGGACATAATTTTAAAACATTGTAAAATGCGCTGTAGAACTGCAGGATATTGTGGAGTCCAAAACACAAATGTGTAAAGGGGACGATGCCAAGTTCTGCACTGAGCCACATCCTGTGCTGCTAGAGGACAGCGTGCTTTAATCGTCTTCCCTGGGATCCGCTGCCAGGCAGACGCTGCCGGCCCTGGGTCTTCTGGGACTCCATGATATGAAAACTAAGGGAGAAGTTGTAGCCACGTCTCTGTGGTAATCCGTCCAAATTCCTTTTTTTTCTCTTGAAAGGTCGAAGACGAGCTGGTAGCTCTGCAGAAAAAATTGAAAGGAACCGAAGATGAGCTGGATAAATACTCCGAGGCTCTGAAAGATGCCCAGGAAAAGTTGGAGCAGGCTGAAAAGAAGGCCACGGATGTACGTACCCACAGCCGGCTGCGCCCGGCTTTGCTGTGTGTGTGGGACGGGGCCGGTGCGAATCACCGGGCGTTGTTTGTTGCAGTACCTCGGTCAGGGGACGGGAAAGCGGCGCTACGTTTCAGGTACGTCCGGCTGCCGCCCGCCGCGCTGCCCGCTCCGCACCCCGCGCTGCCGCAGCGGCACACGGCACTGCTCGGGGCGCCGGGCGGGAGGGACGGAGCCGCTCGGCAGCCGGGGGGCGTCCGCTATACGCGAGCCGCGTTTCCGGGGCCCCGCTTGGCGCACGGCTCCGCTCGGCGCACGGCTGCACCGCGCCGCACCGCCCCGCACCGCCCGGAGCTGCCGGGCCCGGTTCCGCTCCTCCCGCGCCACCACGGGCCCAGACGCGGCCGGCGTCGCTTCGGCGTCCTCGGGGCGCGGCCGTGCCGGGGCTCCCGCGCGCCGCTCCTCTGCTGACGTCACCACCCCACCTCCCGCCGCGTGACGTCATCGGCCCATTGAAAGGCGCGGGGCCGCGCGCCGCCACGTGCAGCACCGCGCGCCCTGCCCGCCGCGCCCATGGCCGCGCCGAGCTCCCTAGAAGCGGTGAAGAGGAAGATCCAATGCCTGCAGCAGCAGGCGGACGAGGCGGAGGATCGCGCCCAGGTCTTGCAGCGGGAGCTGGACCTGGAACGGGACCTGCGGGAGAAAGTGAGACCGCCGGCTGCCCGCTCGCCTCTCTCGGTCGCTCTCTCCGGGCTGCCCGCTCCTTCCTTCCTGTCTCTGGCTCTCTCTCTGGCTGCGCCCGGTGCGCCCCGCACCTCCCCGCGCTCCGCTCTCCACCGCGGGCACCGCGCCGGGCTCGGGCTGCGGGCGGGGCGGCCGCTCGCTGGGAAAAAGCGCTGCATGACAACGGGCGGGGAGGTCCCGCCCCGGCGCCGCGCCGCCGGCTCAGGCACAGCTGGGAAATGTCCGAACTGCTGGAAAATAACTTTTCCCTCCCGGTTTTCCCTGAGAAATGGGAGCTCTCCAGCAGCGTGCCGCTCTCCCGGGGCCGGACAGCTGGTTTCACTTAGGTCTGTGTGCGATCAGCCCGCACGGCATCTTCCTGCTGTTTTATCGCATGTCGGCGAGTTAGTTTTACCGTATATGGAGCGCGGGCTGCGGCAGAGGTGGGGCCGGGCGGCTCCCGAGGGTCCGCGCCGCGGCTCCGGGATCGCGGTCGGTGGGAGCGGCCCGGCCGGAGCGAGAAGCGGCGGTGCTCGGACCGGATGCCAGAGTGCTGCGTGAGCGATGCCTTGTGTGTGAACCCAGTAAGTTAAACACGGAGCGAACCAGAGCCCGGGCGGCTCGGGACCGGAGTCGGGCGTCGGCTGCCAGCC